ACAATCTGAGTTCCTAACCAAGTTGTGAGCAACCGCTCAAAGTTGGTGTTGTGTGAATGTCATGTGATTTTACAGGGAGATGTCAATAAGCGCTAGCAGATGAGAACAATTGTGTTGTTGTCCCTTTGCCTCTATGTCTCAGGACAGAGGAAGATCCATTTTGAAGCATGTCATGCCTCAGAGAGCAGCCTTTAAAACACGTCTGTTTGCTATTGAAATCGCCTTTATCTTTAAATAGTGCTTGAGCAATGATGCATTCAGAAGAGCTCGCTTCGCCTACATTGAATTATTGTATCTTTCTTTATTAAACCTTGAGGAGCCCTACTGAGGAAGTTCTTGAAAAAAAATATCACCCCTTCTGATCTGTCCACCCTCTAATCCACTCTCACGCCCATTCATCACAGACTTTCATTAATTCTGTTAAATAGCCTAAGTACTTCGGCGTAAGCAGATGCTTAAAGCTGACAAACCACATAAGAGTACCAGACCAAATTACCTGCTTTCAGGGCCAATCAAACAGCCTTTTTTCCACCAAATGATCAAGGTAAATATATTTTAACATCATGTCCAGTTTTCCATTTCAATGGTCCAAACCAAGACACACACACACAAAATTACTTAAGGTATGAATTAGTTAGTATATGTATATAATATAATAAATGAAGGAAACATTAAGGGCCTTTTCAAACACTTGCACTCTCAAAAATAAATGTAAATATTAGTGCCTAAAATTTTTGAAAAGGTACCACCCCAGTTACAGCTTGCGTACCTTTATTTCTGAGAGTGTGGCACAACACTTAATTTTTTGCTATTTTCAGACCAACGCATCAATCATTTTCACATTTTATGCCACGTTGTAAATAGCAAATGCATTTACTCCACTTTGTGGACTCATGGAAGTGCAGGTCTGAAAAGGAGCGAGTTGCTATTTTGAAATAACCGAAATAGATCACGCCATTGACCAACTAAAGATTGGTCTAAAGTCAATGGCGCAGAGTTTTTTCATTTGAAAAGTACATTAGTTATGGCCTATGCACACACGTTTCTTAATACATAGAGGCTGTACAGCAATACACAAATATCTTTACATATGAAAAAATTAAAGGATTAAAATGTTTAAAATATATTATTGTAAAAAACACTACCTCCTACCTCCTAGTAGTAGGAGTATTTATTATATGCATAGGTCTATTTATATTTGTTCTAATAAAAACACGTTTAGATTTGTCCACCTGTCAGGTTTTCATAATAAAGGAAAGGCTATCATTAAAATAAACCCCTCAAATTTTGTACTACACCACTATGTTTTTCCATTTGTAAAGTGGTGAAAATCTCAACCCAGGCTTATTCTAAAAAACATACATCTATATATATTTCTGGAGAGCACCAAATACATTCCAGGAGCTAAGACCTTTGCAGTTTTAGTTATCTCAAATCTGCCAGAGGCTGCTGTGTACGCCTTTTGAGATCTCAAATTTCTCTTGCTAGTGCCATTTGCTTCTGTTCTTGCATAAATCCACCAAAGGCTGCTGTCGACTGACTGAATGACTCACTGAATGTCCGCTGAAGTCGGCCGGCAAGCTACTGGACATTACTGCTGGATGTTATGATGGACATATACCTTATTTTCACATCCGAATGTTGACAGGTATGGTGAAAGGGCATCGCAGCGTAAAACATATGATGGTCAAGTTGGAAGTTCATTCCACTGTGGCGACCCCTGATAACTAAAGAGACTAAGCCGAAGAAAAATGAATAATAAAATTCAATAAAATTTAATTAAATTAAATAATATAATATTTTTAACAGCTCCTGTTTAGAGCATCACAAACTTTCTTCTAAACATCTTATTTGCTCCACAGATGGAAGAAATTTATTCAGATTTGAAATGACACGAAGGTGAACAAACAATGAAAAAAATGTCCTTTATTTATTTCATCTAATGCGCTTCAGAGAATTAAAGCTGATTATGCAATTTCCCCAGGCTTTATAGTAATACAGGAAGGTCTTTTTGTGTGGCATATTGCAAGCATTCAGACATGAATCAACCGAAAGAAAGCTGCTCTGCAAGACCACACGTGCTGCTAGAACACGTCCTTGCCTGACTCGTCAGAGAAGGCATGGAAAGCACGTCGACAAATCAGTTGGTGAAAGCAATATTTACAAAATGGAATTACCAGCGAAGACAGCGAGGACTACAGACGTTTGAAGTTTCATTTTGACTTTGATTATATTAGCAACGTGCTAGCTGGCAAACTCAAATCATGTCCTCGAAGAAGGTCAAGCAAGTCCTGGGTTTTCAAACCTTCAGTGAAAAAGGAGAACGCCAGAGGAAAAGATGATCTCAAAAGCAAGATGGGGGTGAAGTGTTTAGCTTGTGGTTGGGAGAAACGAGCGTGTCTTTGTTGCTCTGCGCTAATTATAGCAGGAACAGGCTAGGCTCAGACCTCCTCTCTCTAATAACATTTATCAGCTTCTTGTCACCAAAGACCCATTGTTCTCATCTCTCCTTAAATACTCCCCAAGAACGAACCAAGAACATCTCAGAATCCGCCGGGACATGCACATAGGCTTCCTTACATTTCACATTCATCTATATAAAATTCAAGACTATTGATCAACTGTTCGATTTCATGCTCACTCATGGAAAAGCATCTCATAATAAAGTCTGCCAATGCTTAAGTGTGTCTTTATGAACACACTGCTAATAAAGCCAATCAGCTGGCAGGACATTTGTTCATAAAATTCAGCCACCAAGTCCCACATCCTGTATACTCCTTGGTGGAGCTATGATATAAAAAAACATACAGAAAACAGTGAATCTCAATGATAGCAATGAAACTGCTAAGACATTAAATACTAATCTGCCAGAGAAAGCATAAGCAGCGTCTGTGAAACCGATAGTTAAGGCGCATACAGATGGAGGGGCTGCTTCTCTGGATTTGACAATGACACCAAAGATTTACTTGCTGCCATTTATAGATCCCGGAAAATTACAGGGAGGCAACTATTATTTGCGCTGAGGGGTTGTCAAATCCATAAAAACAACCTCCCCTCCCTTTGTAACCTACATTTCAAATGGGATGTGATCCGTCCATTGTGGATAACAACGCTGACGACTATAAATCCCTTTTCAATAGCTCTGATCTGAGCATATTATCACACGATTATAATAACAGACGTATCCAAATAGAATTGAGCGGCCTGGGCTAAAAGTACAACACAATAGTGTCCATCAGAAGATTTAATAACAGAGACAACAGGAAATATATCCATTTAACAATGAGACATATGTGACCCTGGACTACAAAAGCAGTCTTATGTTGCACGAGTATATTTTTGGCAATAGTAAAACATACAGTTAAAGTCAGAATTATTAGCCCCCTTTGATTTTTTTTTTTTATTTCTTTTTTAAATATTTCCCAAATGATTTTCAAGAGAGAAAGGACATTTTTACATTATGTCTAATAATATGTTTTCTGGAGAAAGTCTTATTTTTTTTATTTTAGCAAGATAAAAAGCAGTTTTCATTTTTCAAAAAACATTTTAGGGACAAAATTATTGGCCCATTTAAGCTATATTTTTTGATGGTCTACAGAATAAATCATTATACAATAACTTGCCTAATTACCCTAACCTGCCTAGCTTACCTAATTAACCTACAGTAGTTGAGCCTTTAAATTTAACTTTAAGCTGCATAGAAGTGTCTTGAAAAATAAGTAGTCAAATATTATTTACTGTCATCATGGCACAGATAAAATAAATCAGTTATTAGAGATGAGTTATTAAAACTATTATGTATAGAAATATGTTGAAAAAATCTTCTCTCTGTTAAACAGTAATTGAGGAAATAAACAGGGGGGCTAATACTGACTTCAACTGTAAATTGTTGACCTAATTGGTCAAAATAAATGTTTTTATGACAATAATTATTTAAAAAAGGCACTTAAGACCAGTGTTATAAAGTAACAACTTACAAATACTCAAACTACTGTAATTGGATAGTTTTTCTTAGGAATCGTAATTTGTGTTTGAGTACATTTGTAGAGCTGTATCAGTACTTTTACTCCTCTACTTTCCTTCAACCTGTCCTGCAGTCACTACTTTATTTTTTCTTGTCTATGGAGATTACAAAAATCAGTACTGTGATTCCTGTCCATTCAAATTGCACATAGAAGGTAAATCGCATCATGATGAGCTACCTCAAGACATGGGTGATATATAATAGCAGCAAATTGTTGGGAAGCATTAAAAGTGTCCAAAAAAGTGTCAAAGGTATCCCACTCAATGATTCAGACACTGTTTAGACTGCACGTCACTGATGAGTAGATGACTGATGTTTACTATATGATGACCAAAATAGCCTCAAACACCCAGCAGGTACAAGACATCCGATTGATGTTGTACCCCAACGTCGTGGGGACATTGCACAACGTTTAATGATGTAACAGCTGGACGTTACCACTGTGACGTCTATCAGATTTTGGATTTTGGTTGCCATACCTGACGAACAAATGTCAGTATTTGACACCAATATGATGTTGGTTTAAGATGTTGGCTCAAAAGTAAATGAGATGACATCACTAAATCTAACCGAATATTATTGTCTTATGATGTTGTGTGCCTGCTGGTCAATAACTAAATGCACTACATAATGTTACGTTTACACACATCCACAAATTGCATATAAATGCATCAGCTGTAATACACACTACTCTTGTCTACTTTTTACTCATACTTTGAGTAATATTTACAACAGATACTTTTACTCTACTTGCACTACATTTTTAGGCAAGTAAGGGTACTTTTACTTAAGTATGATTTTTCAGTACTCTTTCCACCACTGCTTAAGATGGGTTTAGAGTCACATATTCTAAACCTTGAAGCAAGGAAGCAGTAACGTATGTGAGAAGAAATCACCGGTGCTGAGATTACAGATGTCCACATGTTCATAATATTTATCAGTGACATCATAATTTTAATACTGCGGTCTCACTTACTTCATGGGTTTGAAAAGGGCCTGGCCGTAGTTCTGGAATGTCATGATGAGCTTCAGCTGCGTGCCTCCAGATTTCATTGCTACACAGAGAACAAAAGCACTCGTATCAGGAAAGTAACTTCCAATAAACCATTTTAGATAAGACTCATTATGCAAATAGCAATAACAATGTGAAGATTCAATTGTGAAAATACTCTGTCCTCTCACTGAGGATGGTATTTGATTATGCATCGTTGGGGAAAAAAACGAATGAAAACAAGTGTGTTTTGGACATACACTACGCACTGCCCTTTAAGGGAAGCTGATAAGACCTTTTTAAAATGCTTGTTGCAATGAATATGCAGGCAATCACAAACAGATGAAGGAAAAAAAGAAGACACTGCCTCAAGTCACTTAAAGAGGCATGTGTGTCGATACCAATTTTTAAAGATCTCTATCATTGTAGATTACCATGCAACTTCCTTTCAGAGAACAACTAAATGGAAGAATAAAAGAGTATACACATCCCAACATACAGTCAGCTGGTCAATGTAATCTAATACTAACTCAAAATTAATCAAGGGTGTTTTGTTTCATGTTATTGACTGAGGCACTCTATAGCATGTCAGCTATTACACAGCTGGATTAAAGACGAAATATTTTCAAACGTCAATAGTAAAGTAATAACTGTGTTATTTAATAACTGTTGTAAACTGTCAAACTGTTTTCAGTTATTATAATGTGTCCTGGTTAATTTAATATTTTTTAGAGTCAAAAATAACTATCATACATTTTACTGTGAATTGCAGAAGACACCCACCAAAGTTTATACTAACAAAACCTTGTCAAACTTATTTAGAACACAAAACCTTTGACAAGGCTTGTCAAAGTACCAAATCTTATTATTATTAGTGGCTTATTTCCTGCATATTATTAAGATATTGGCGGTTTATTTGTACTTATAAAATATATAATCTGCATAATCTTATTCAACATGTCTAATCTATCAAAAATAAACCCAACTACTAGCTTGATCACTATTAATAAGCAGAGAATTAGATGCTTGTTGAGCTAAAAGTCATGGTTAATGGTTTGTTAATAGTGAGAACCTGTAAATAAATAAAGTGTGACCAAATACTCATTTAGGGGTCACAGGGCATAGGCCAAAATACTAATTAAATGTCATTTTAATTCAATTTACCACTATATTTTAAGAAAGCCATTTGGCAGCAGGAAGCTTTTGATCACTTAATTAAAATAACAAAGTTTAGTATGATCTTTTATTCTTAAATAGAACTATACTTATAATAGTATATATATATATATATATATATATATATATACATATATATATATATACATATATATATATATATATATATATATATATATATATATATATATATATATATATATATATATACATATATACACATACATATATATTATACTCATAATAATATAAGTATATTTAATAAGAATGGGTCAGGATTATTATATTGTATATTTTTCTTATACATATATACAGTATGCTACACTTAATCATAGTGGAAGTATTTCACCCATATTTTTGATTATTTATTTATTTCAAATGCTACAACAGACACCGTACTTGCATTAAATATGATATATGTGAATATTTCAAATAGAAAATATACAAAAGTTTTCATTCAGTTTTTTTTTCATGTTTTTTTTAAATAAAATTATTTTGTTAATCAAAGCGGCATTTATTAAATAAAAAAAGTTAAATTGTTAAATATTGGTTACAATTTTTAAAAATTCCTTTCTTATTGTATGTAGTTTTGGATGGAATTATTACTCCAGTCATTATTATTTTTATTACTATTACCAATAATAATAAAAATAATAATAATTATTATTATTATTAATATTAGAGGGATTTCTGAAGGATTATGTGACTAAAGTCTGGAGTAATGAAGCTGAAAATTCATCATTAAAGTCACTAAAATAAACTATTAAGTGAAATTATAAACTACATTTGAACAGTTATTTTACAGTGCATTAACATTTCACAATTTTACAAATTGTACTGTATTTTTTATTTAAAAAATGCAACTTTGGTGAGCAGGATAAGCTTATTTTAAAACATTTAAAAATTCTACTGACCCCAACTTTTGACCGGTAAAAATTATATATAAAATTTGAAACAAACACCAAAATCAGGTATCTTCTCTATTGACCCAGGTATACCAAATAAGGCAATAAATGGAATAAATATTTTGGTTTGAGGAATTATTTTATCATGTGAGAAGAATATGAGGTGGTTTGGATGTCAGGGACAGTTGTCAAATATACAGTTTCTTGTTAAAAATACAAAGATATTCTGCCCACAATTTAAAGTGATCATCCAATCAGATTCAAGAATTTAGGAGAACCATGTAATAAGTTGAGGTTGACCTTGGTGCTTCACATAAACGCATCCCATCAAGCAAAATTCTTTTTGACGATATGCATGCCTGGCAGGAGATACTTTCCACAGCATGGCGTTTGATTAAGTCTAAATTGCACGCTCTTCTCATTCATTTACCCTGCTGGAATCCACTAGCAGTGAATCTCAGTCCAATTTTATTGATGCATCCGCAGACAGACTGCAGGAAGAGTCTAACCATTATCTTGAAGAAACTTCATTCAAAGAATCTATTTAAATCTGCACTCAAACACTGCACTCAAATCAGCGTCACAACTGTACAAATGCAATCCAAAAATCACTTCTCTGAATGGTGTTCAACTCCAATGCTGCTCATTGTGTACTAATTGTTGTGCAATCTCAAATATTAACTTACCAACACTGGTGATCCTTTGCGAAACCAGATCCTTCAGCATTGCGTCAATAACCGGGTTATGCCTGGAGTAAAGCTCATACCGGTTGATCCCAATGTGGAAGCGGAGCCAGTTTGGGTAGGAGTCTGAAGACATCTCACCCGTAGGCGCATAATCCCCATCTTTACTTTCCCCATTCCTATGAAAATACAAAAATGTGTTAAATGTAATACCATTTTAAAAACGCATAGACAATTCTGTGTTTTTGTGTTTTAAAGTTTGTTTGTTTTTTATTCAATGCATTGAAATAATAATAACAATAATAATAATAATAATAATAATGGTTATTATGACTAAACAGTATTAACTTTACTACTATATAATCTATTTTATTTTTAAATAATAGTATAATCATAGTAGATTTATCAACATAAAATAACAAATAATTAATATACATGTATGGCTATTTATATTTTAATTATCAAAATGTTAATAAACATACAATAACACCAATAAAATATTAATAATAATAACAATATGTTTTTTATAATTATGTACTAGAAATCAGTATTATTTAAGGGGAACAGCTGTTTGTCTCCACTGAAGAGTGTGTATTTAATGTTTGTGAGAAAGAAACACAGCTGCTCAACCTACCACTCTGGATTCTCCGCAGCTTTAGGGTCAAACCGTATATCAGTGTTGACATTGAATAAAGTGTCTTCGTCAGTTAAAGGAGGCAATGGCCTGGTGTATAAAGGATGCTCAAACAGCGCCGAGAGCCTCGAACCCTTGACCGCTGCGTTCTTGAAGGCAGAGTCCCGCGTCGCGAGCCTCCTCTCATCACCTGTCAGCTGCTCAAATCTCTTCAAAGCCTCGGCTCTCTCACCGACCATCATCTTTTCCAGCGAGTGAGAGGTCAGGTTGGAGCTGGGCTCGTTGCTGAAGTCTTGAAGTATTCGGAGTGTGTGTTTATTAGGCCAGCCGGACTCTGATCCCGGCTTGGCTCGATGCTTAGCCCAGTTCTGCGGCTCTTCGCTGGGTGTGTGTGAGCACGAGCACGCGCTACCGCTCCGTCTCTCCAGCTTCGGTAACAAGTCTATCATAATGTGCATGGAGCAGGCTATAAGAAACACCATCAAAATCAAGACGCGGAATTTTCTAAAGAGGATCATCTTCAGGCTCTCGCGTTCGAGAAACGACTTGTTTGGAATGTCAGGGATAAAAGTGAGCAAGCGCACTACATCGCCAACTGTACATAAAACACGGGCTCCCAATTTTAGGAGGGGAACGCATGGAACGTCTCCGTTTTCATGTGCCAGTTTAAGGGCAGAGATGAGGGTTTATTCGGTGAAGCGCTCGTGTACATCCATGCCAAACAATAATCCAGTTATTTACGTGCGCTCGCGATTAAATTCCTCCCGTGCGGTCAGTTGACGAGACGCGACACAGTCACTCATAGTCTGTTTGACCATTTAATAGCTCGTATGCAGCAGATATCTGCGAAATGCGAACAAGTCAAGCCTCGTCGGATACAGTAGACTATCCAGAAAAGTGCGCGTTCGCGATGTCCATTTCGGCGTGCGAAGAAAACATCTGCCGCTTTTCATACAGCGCACGAGATGCCTTTCACAGCTGTACAAGTTCATTCGCTCGTCTTATCCGGTGTGAATCGAGGCTGTTCAAACGGTGAAAGCGACGAGACGCATGGCAGCCCTGGCAGGTCTCGAGAAAGTGTGGCATCGCACCTCCTTCCGTCCGTCGACAAATGTGATATGTGGAGAAAGTTTCATCGTTTCCTGCCGCTCGTCCAGCTCTCGTGAAGGTGATGTCTGCCCGTTGACAGGCGCTTGAGGAAATACCTCGGTCGGATGTTCGGGGTGGGTGTGTTAAATATCATGATGCTGAAGCCCCTCGCACATTGAGGATTGGCTGAGCTTGAAAACGGCAGGACAGGCAGCCCAGGCTCGCTTCTTCCTGTAGCGTCAGATTGTGCAAGAAGAGGGCGTCTGAACACACACTGCTGCCCATTATTGTCTGAAATGACTTTTTAAGATGTGCTTAACACGCACGCCCTAACCGCTCTCTACCACCTTATTTTGGTGGAAAATTTCGGGACTGTTTCTTCATGTCAGGAAGCAGTTGAGCAAGACTAGAGGAATATAAGCAGGCTAGAAATATGCTTAAGGCATTGGTTTAAGATTTACAGACCTTCAGGCCATCCAGTAGGCTAAGCAGGTGACTGTTTCAGATGAACATTCAAGATTTTTAGACATTTTTGTAGGGCAGTGCCACTTTGGAAAACAGAAGCATTGGGGAGAGCGGGTCACAAAGCAACACTTTTTGATTTTGGAAAAATTATGACCAAAGTAGGGGGTTAGACAAACCATTTTTTAACCAACAACACACAAGCCTCTCCTACAAATAAGCACCGAAAGTATGATCGCTGTGCAGTATTTACCCCACCTGTGAGTCAAGTCAGGAAAGAGGGTTAATTAAAAAGGCAGATTACACACAATTAATTTAAATTCAGTTTACATTAAATAGCTACATTTCCTCAGTAGCTTCTTTTTTATTATTCTACATAGCACAGTAGGTTTATTTATTTATTTATTTATTTATTTATTTATTTAGCTATTGGATAAACACATTTTGATTTTTTGCATTATTATACAATACATTTATTTGTATTATTATGAATAAAATGTATTTTATTTTCTAGTAAACATTTTTTAATATAAAAAGCTCTCAATATTACACTCAAAATTGTAAAATTATTTTGTTCATCTAATTGGTGTCTAACAGTATGTGGCCTAATTTGTAACACCCCTATACAACTAACCCTGCTACAGTATGTCGTGTTTTTCCCAAAACTGGCTAGCAGTCACTGTTTTTTTAACTTTCAAAATGGTTTCATCTTTTGGCCTAAAAGACAGTAGTCACAACAATCAAAAAATTTTCTAACATAGTTTCACAATTTTTTTAAAAATAAAAAAATATCGACTATAATAAAAAAATACTTATATTCTGCAAAAAGGGTTTCTCCTGTGTTTCCCATCCATAATTAAATATAATTTGTTGTTGTTAATTATTACTTTCTTGCACACACCAGTTTCACTTCATAAGACCTCAAAATATCATCAGGAGCTTGAGTTTTAATTTTGTTGAACCTATACTGTATGTTGTTTTTGACTTTCTAAGTGGTCACCATTGATCTGCATTTTATGAATCAGCAAGGTTTAATCTTCTTCATTGATCCAATTAAAAAATAATAAATAAAAACTTACACACATCCTTGAAGACCTGACGGTGAATAAATTAGGAAGTGTTTATTTCTGAAAGAACTACCTCTTTTAAAATTTTACATTAAAATAAATACGGACAACCCCCCTCGTTGGGTTACTTTTTTCAATAGCATTAAATTTAATTTGTTAAATGTAACAATTTTTTGTGGATTTGTCAACATTTGACCCAATGCTGGGTTACAAAAACACAGCATTTTAGAGTGTAAGTAAAGAAAAGAAATAAATAAAAAGGATTTGTCTAGAACGTTTACTCAGCCTTGAGTCACTTCAAAATGTCTGACTGTCGTTCTTCTCCGTCACAAAAAGAAAAGTAGGGATGACTAATTCATGAAGAGATCCTTCACCCTGGAAATGTGCGAATTGAATAACATGATTCATTATTTGCTAACAAATCAGACATGATTTGATTTGTCAAGTAGAACTAATATAAATGTCAAGATTTCCAGTAAATCACTCACCTTATACCTTTAAATCAGCCATTCTTGATCATTTTAACTCCAAGGTCTTACTGTACAAACGATCCTAGATGTATCTGAAATTTCTGCTGTATTTTAAATCTGTTAAATACAATGCAGTTTAGCACTTTATTTCTTTGACCAAGTTTAATGGAAAAATTCTAAAATAATAAAAAATTAAAACAAATCTATTTGTTTCTTTAAACATTTAATTTTTCTAATGTCCATTGACAAAAATAGGTACACTCAAAAATGACTTTTGACTTTTGTTCAAATTACTTATTTAAAATGAGTAGAAACAACAAACTTTTTAAGTTTTTTTGGGACATCTTAATTGTTTTGTGTTCAGTCCACTTAAATTGGTAAAAACATTTAAGTTAACTTAATCAATTTGTGTTAGGGCAACATAAAGGAATTGTGTTGAACACATCATTTTTTACAGTGTATTTTTCAGTGTCAATGTATTATTCAAAGAAGTAAACTTTTGCCGAAAAAGTATCATTTTAACATGGCCTCATCTAAGCAATAAGACAATAAGGACCCTGTTTTTTTATTTGATTGACAGAAGCTGAGAGAACAAATTAAAAGAAAAATAATTGAACAATACAGTCCAAAACAATGAAGATAATGAAATAAAAGATGTCACCAAAATTCACTTTGATCTGATCATGAAATGAACACGTGCCTGCCAATACAAAGAGCAGGTTCAGGACATCACAGAGACATGTAGACAGCACTAATTACCTAATTATTATTTATTAGGTCAAATGTCACATTTCAGACAAGAGAGCTGTCAGAGATGACAATGAAAGACTGATTGTCTGCAGTTGAGGATTTTTTTCTTTAAATTCCCTGCAGTATTTGGTAACAATACTTCAGAAACAGAGCACTGATTGTTTTTTGGTATCCGCATGAGGAAAGAGCTAATTAATGACAAGGCTAATTTCTAGCAGGCTCGATTTCACTGTGAGAAAGCTTCTGTTCTTTCATCTAGCCACATCAATGCATTGTCTTTGAAAAGAACCAGGGGCGTCACTTGACCCTTTTTTTCACTGGGCCACAAGCCCTGCTGAAATACAGCTGTGACCAAGTAAAATATTACTGGTAAATTTGTGCCTGTCAATAGAGATTAACATGCAATGACCTGAGAATAATTTTCTCTGACAGTGTTTCATTAATTATGTTGTGGGCTTCTCTTGGCTTGGTCTTTTGGTTTAGTCATACGAGTATGCTAAAATATTCAGATATCTTACAAATGTCATCTATTGTTTATAAACGATTAAGATATTATTGGTGCACATGGGTTTTTAATGTGACATTTCTCTATTACTGTCACACATGACAAAACAATAATATAATTAGTATTATCATCATTTAAAATGCAGTTAAACATCTACTGTAGCTGCTTGAGCAAAATATGAAATCTGGGTGGAGGGTTTGAGAGGGGCACCTCAGCTAATTAGGGCAAATGGGCAGTGGCTCTAGCCTCCGGGCCACCCCCCTGTGCACGGCCCTGATGGGGACAAAATGCAAACTCCACACAGAAATACCAACTGACCAAGGCTGGGCTTGTGCGATCGTGCTACCTAATGCGCCACTGTGACACCCATACTATACAGATTTTAAATGGGGCAATTCAATGAAAAAAATATAATTAGATGAAGGACCACATTAAAAGACCCCATGATGTGAAGATTCAGAATTAAGTCTATTTTAAGTCTCAGAATGTTTTTTTGTTTTGTTTTGTTTTTTTTGTTGACATTTTTAACATTTTTGGGACCACGAAAAATTGTTTTGTTGTTTTCTTTTGGTGTGACACCCCTGTTTTGTTAAAAATGCCTAACAAGGAAAGTCGTATATAAAAACATATATTCTAATTTTCATAAATTCATAAAATAGCACCATATGTACAACAATGAAGACAAATATCTCTTAAGCTATTTCTATAATATTAGGAGTTGTTCTGCTCAGACCATTGGAGACTTTTATGGAACAGTTCTGTAAAAAAAACCTGAAAATGAAAGAATTGATAAAAGATTTAGTGATCCCTTATACACTCAAAAGAAGATGTTTCTTTTTTGAAACTTCAAACTACATAAATATATATTTTTCTACAAAATAGTACAAAAAAATTACTTTTTTTTGATTGTTTATAATTTATTTTTAGATTTCTTTGTCAACAACCTATAAACAGTTTGTGAACTGCTGTTATCTAAAGTTATCTTTAATGTTTAGAACTGCATGGTTCTTATTATTCTGTAGTAGGGCTGCACAATATATTGTTTCAGCATCGATATCATGATGTGAACCTTCGCAATAGTCACATCGCAAGCATAAGTAATGTTGAGTCTGGATTTATTTAATCATTTCGCAAGTATTTTTTGAGGCCTGTGGGATTTGAAAACATTCAGACCTAATAAATTGTATTTTTTTTTAACTTTGACACATTAAAAACGATCAGTTCTGTTGAATCTTTTATAAAATGAACACTATGCAGTATTAATTCACATTTGATTATTCAATTCTCCTTTATTGAATTCATCTGTGCTTGTAGATTGTTTCTTATATTTTATGCATATGCACTCCTGTAGAGAATCATCTAAATTAATCCAAAATTATGAACTCTTTCCAAATAATTGTGCAACTAATCTAGTGTGTTCATATTGCAAAATATATCGCAGAATAAAAAATATCACAATGTTAGATTTTTCCAATATCATGCAGTCCTATTCTGTAGAATACATTTATAAAATCTTCATTAAAGTTGTCAAATTTAGTTACTACTAATACACAATACTGGAAATGGATCTTTAACATGGTCATATGAATATGAGCTGTACTTAATAGTCTAATGATTAAAAATAAATAGATAAATGGTAACCCCAATCTATTTTTGGCCTAAAAATATACCTGTGCAATTGAAGGTTGGTTTGGTGGTGGAGGGTTACATTGTGATATATCTAAACACCCTTATAGTCCACATGCATTCTAACACTAACAGCCAAATCTGTGACCTAAAATCAGAGTATCTGTAGAGAATCAGTTGCACATTAGTTTTTTATGATATATGTACGGTTTTTAATTAATATATGGTACTTCAGTGTGCAGTAATCTGTAATGATTATGGTCTGGTTAGGCAAGTAGTTGTTAGGCATATTGTTATGATGCTGCATACTGCTAGGCAATTGACAAAACACAAAATATTTCTTCATAATGCAGAAAAATA